GAGGACCTTGATGCTTTTTTTTCCAGTTACCGCTTTACTTTTCATATATGGCCAAAAATTGACAAAGCTTTCCGGTAAACATCCAAAAAACAAATTTGTACTCGACCTAGTATCTTACTATGGATACGAAAAGTGTGCTGCAAACCGATGCCTTCGATATATCTTGTAAACTTGCATATTGAGGCTATACGGTATTTAAAATTCAAAAACTCGACAGCACGGTAAATAACTTTTGCTACATTTCTACACTATTGAGAAAAGTTCATCCAGATATACACATCAGCAGCTGGAGAAATTATTATTAATTGAGCGCATGTGCTCTTATGGTTATTATCGTTTCATATTTGCAAAATCATATACTCCATTCTCAAATTACTGGCTCTTAGGTGTTATGCTGCCCGTTTTCGATGCTACAGCGGAGGGACCTGACGCCTACGACTTGACCGGTCTTGGGAAAGGAGGAGCCAATATCGGAAAACTGAAGAAAAACTATAATAAGGTAATCAAATAGGTCATTCCTTTCCTTTCTCTTGCACTAGAACAATTGTTCTCAGCATTTTTTTTTTTGCTTTTCAGAAGATTGACGTTTTTAGGCAATCGAACTCCTTGTGGAATTGGCCACCTTGCAGACGTGCTTCATTACATTGGACGAGGCCATCAAAGTAACAAATAGGAGAGTTAACGCCATTGAGCACGGTATGTTGATATTTTCATTTTTGAAAAGGTGGAAAAGGGCTATTAAGGAAATTTCTAAAATAGGGCAAAGCTATGTTTTATAGTTAACAAGATCTAAGGTTTTGCAAAATCTCCAGTTTTTCTCGTTGTAAACTCAGCTGTGTATTTCAAAATGATCTCTTCTGCTACAATTTCAGTAATCATTCCTCGTATTGAAAATACGCTCTCTTACATCGTTACGGAATTGGATGAAATGGAAAGAGAAGAGTTCTTCAGGTACTTCTTTTTTTTGCTTGGAATTTTCAAATAATCCGTTTGGAATTCAAATACTCGTTTGATGAAGCCTCCAACGATTGTTGAAGGTTTTTTTTTTTTTGATAGATGCTTTAGACGAGAAATTCTTTTCTAAAACTTTCGATT